CTTGGCAGGTGATAACATATTATTACTTAGTGCAATGTAATACTCCGACAGCTTCTGGCAACGCTTTACAAAGTAATACGTACTCTAGACGGTTTCCTAAATCTAAGTTAAATCGGATAGGATCTTGTATCTGCATCCATCTCCCGCTGTTTTCTGAGAGTTACGAGCTGGATTTGAATTTTAACTTAATGCACAAAGCCTTGGTTACCGGGTATCTCACATTCGAGCACTTTTGACTGCGGCTGCATACTTGTTTGTTTCCAGTTTATGAGGAGCACCATAAAATAGAAATTACGACACTGCCTCCCGTCCCGAAAAACAGTATAACACTGCCAGTGGGGCTCCTGACGCGGCATCTGATGCTGCTGCAGCCGTCTTATCTGTTCTGCACCATCAGCAAAACATAATCACGATAGATAAGCCTTTTTCTTTGCTGCCCAGACAGCCAGGATGAAACAGTGACCATCGAGAAATGGGTTGAGGTAGGCTGTGCCACAGGTTTGGCCACAAAATATGGAGGAACAAGGTGACAGTGACACTCTTCACTCCACGCGTCACCAAAACCAGCTTTGGCAGTAGAAGTCGAGGCACTGCGCCATTCTAAAGTAAAGTTTTCAGTATACGTTGAAATTCATCAACTGCATCAAGAGCTTCGTCCTCAAAATAATAACCAAATGAAGTACAATACTTTTTTTATTTAAATACACAGCGAAAAAAAATTATTTAAGAAAGAACATAAACTAATGTTGGCTACCCGACGCCTATTTCGATAAAAAAAAAAAACAAATAAAAAACTCCATGCGAGACACTTTAGAAACAGTTGGGTTCTATGCTAGCACACATGCGGCATTTATCGCCCCAAATTTAGGGGCGACTTCGCCCTGGTTCTACCTGGTTCGAAAAATTGACGATCAAAACAAGGGCAATTCCATTTAAGATAGCGATCTCTGCTCTCACCTCAACTCAATTGAATAATTTGCAGTTTTATTGGCATATCACCTTGCATCTGCTTCCTTGGCAACAACTATTGTATCGTGATGTACTTTTCCCCACAAGCATATTAAGTTTGAAAACTTTTCCATATACATTGGATATATAAAAAAATTATGTAGGTTTATAATAATATTGATGGCAGTTTCGAACAAGTTTAATAACTAGTCGAAGGAATAAAGTTGATGTAAATGTCTGCTGTGGCTTGTCATATGCCTTAAACAAGAATACTTTACACATAAGCCTTTAAAAAGCCCGTCAAAAATCGCCGTTTCTTCCATCTTTATTTATACATAGTTTGATTCTTGTATCCCCAGAAAATGCACTGTCTATTACAAACAAAAATATGTTCTGTTGAATGTCTGGCTTCCAAACTTGATTAGTGCACTTGAAAAACCTGCACCTGCTAAACCAAACCGATCGACGGGGTCGTGTTCAGCGGCCCAAAATGCTTCTTGTAGGTTATCTAATCTTCCCACCTCGATTCCTTTTTAAACGTGGTTTTATTCTTAGTTCCGACCGAAAAGGTATGTATGAATGCATATAATAAAAAGAGGGGGCATCTCCGATCCTATTAAATATATATCTTTGCCAAGCGTCTCGATTTAGCCATGTTCGTCCGTTAGTCAGTCTGTCTATCCTATTGAAACAAAAGATCTCAGGCTATAAGAATATGGAGTAACTATCCTAAAATTAGGAATTCTGGTTTGAAGTAAGAATTGTTATTGAATAATTCGATTTGTGCGGCCTTTTTACCCGTTTTACAAGCGGACGTAAACGGATGGATCCGAACAAAAATCGCTGTAGATATTATATACGGACAAGGAATCGGACTTTCGGCATTAAATTCGCAGAATACTTAAAAACGGATGCTAAAACGGAAGAATGATACGAAACACGTGTTTTGTCCAGCAAAGTGAGTAAATAACCGCACAATGTTTTAGTCATTGTAGTTTTGTCCCGTGCTCATCGTTGTTATAGCTATTTCATATTTTGTACCGCTATTTTATAAGCCATGCCGCCTTTCGATTTTGACTGTAAGAGTTGTAAGTTTTAAGAGTTCCCCATTTTGTGAAGAAGTTCATAATTTTCCCGCGGTAAGTATTAAATTCATCTTATATATGTATTTATATATTACATTTCTCATGTATTATAAACATACAGTTCTTCTGAGTTACTGGTTAATTTTCGTTTGTGCAACGCAAAGGAACAAAGGAATAATTTGGTATTTTGTGCTATTTTAAATACAAAAGTAATATATGTAATGTAATTTACTCAAAATAATTTATATTTTCACAGCCGCCCCTTTCAAAAGACTCCTTTAGAAGACACCGTTTTTGATGGGACCACACACAAAAACATTTAATCACTTTAAATTAAATATTATTAATTTATATCTTAATAATAAATAATTTGTTTCTCTTTGACCGTTAGGATATTTGAACGTATCTCAATTATTTGTATTTATAAAACTTTTTCGGGTCGAAAATGATAGCTTTTGCCGCCCAAACTCCCTGACAGATGATTAACCTGAGTGCCTCTTTTGGGAACTAAAATCTGACGTTTCGTACGCCTGAAATCCGAAAAAGTATCTTTAGAAATATCATAATCGGACCTTTGGTTTACTAGGAACTTCAGCAAGATTTACGGTTGTGTTGGCAGCACCAATATCTGTTGCCCAATAATTTCTTGTCAAATTTTTTTACTATTAATGCATATACTTCTAACTAAGAAAAAACCCTGCAAGGGTTTGATAAAAACAACTCCAAATGAGGTTAGATAAAAATGCCTCTTGCATCTTCAACCACCAAAATGATTACATACATTTTATTAACAAATAAAGGTTCAATTTGCTAAAAATGTAAAATAAGAGGTTTCGAATTCCACACGCCACTTTAAAAATGTGTTTAACATATAATAAATATGCATCGAAGTTGCGTGATTTATTTTCAGCCCCAATGTTGTCGAAGAATTCTTTACTCTAAAATAAGTTTCCATAGATCATATTGCAGATAGTATGATATACATTTGCCAAAGATGCATTAAAACAGAATAATTCAGTTATTTGTATAAGCTGTGAGACCAGTTTACGTAGAAAAGGACAGACGGGCGTTCAGATGAACTTGACTAGTTTGATTTTTAATATACTTATATGTATATATGTATATAATATATTGATGATGAATACGCACAAGGCTAATGTATACTTATTGATAGTAAGTACACTGAGTTCATTTATAATATTTATTATTTAAAGCACACTTATGTCAATAAGTATAAATCCTGTAGCTACTGTTGAGTTCTGTAAAAATGCCAAAGCTCATAAAGTCCAATTAAAAGAACATCTTACAAAGACCTGCTTAGCGTTTTTGGTATAAACAAGGTGTTACCTAGCAACTGTTTAAAAGTCTGACACAAGCATGTTCTCACTTGTATCCCATATTTTATGTGCATATATACATATATATGTATATGTGTCGTAAAGCGCTGTTGGTGCTTTTCAGTTTTGACAAAATATGACTTTATTTCATTGGATGCGCCTACTCGCGTTCAATGAAGCTTCAATTCGCCCGGCGCGCGGAGAACTCGATAGATTTACATCCAGTTAACGGTGCAGATGACATAAATTCACCGCTCCCGACCCCGACGGATCCCGCGGACTCGCTGTCATATTCGACATCTGCAGTATAAATCAAAAGAAAATATGGGGGATTGTGCAGGGGAGGGTCGCGACCGCGGGATCCCAAGTGATTGATAATGCCCAGCAGCGAAAGCAGCATCGTCAAAAGCCGCCGGAATGAAGCGAAATGAAACATTACGGCGGAATGGATTGTGTATGACATGACAGGGCGGCGGCTCCCGTCCCCATCCCTTCGTCGTCCCCCCTCTCTGCGTCTCCCCAGATTAGACTACGACTTCCCGAGTGTGTGAGTGCCAGCGGAGCGCGGCGGTCGCGGTGCTGGATTCGGGGGATCAGCCCCATGAAACCCCTACATTGCAGGGAGCGCGACCCCAGATCCCGGCAGACTCTTGCAGACTCGGGCTTTGAATGCGCCTCAAAAACCGATGGCCGGCGGTGACGCCGCATACTTTGAAATATGGAGCGGCAATAAATGTCACAAGATTCATTAGAGAGAAAATTCAAGTGACGAGCGTGACTTCCACTGGATGTTCGGTACGCCAGGGCGAGGGTTCTGACAAGAATGGTGATGAACAGCGGAGTTGCCGCAGAACAGGTGTTGCCTTCGTCGCCCTCACTACCCTTCACTCCACTGGGCGCTCAATTCCCAGACCGAAAAGTTCGCAGACAAATTGGTGGTGTCCCACAATTAAAGAAAATCTAAAAGGCCCACAACCTCCGTGGGTGTGCTAAAACCCAGTGTAATTATAACCAGTTTTAGTAGCTCGCGTGATGGCTTCGGTCCGTGAAATCGGACTGCTGCATCTTGCGGCGGCTGTGAGAGCTGCTGCCGAACCCACCTGGGCGAGAAGTGTCAACGCTGGCAGAGTTGAACCTTTCGACCTTCAACCTCCCAAAGATCGGCTGGAGCTAGAGTGCTAGAGTGCGTTGGCAGGGCCGAGGGGTGAACGGACGTCCTCCAGAAAGTGGGGGGAAGCAGGCAGCATAACGCACGCAGGGCCACTCAGCCGGGGGATGAGAGGATGAGCTACCGCTGGTGCCTCCGTCGCGGTCTGCTTCTTTTTGCATTCGAATTCGCGATCGCGTTCGCACAGTGATGCAAAACAATGATGGGCATGGATCTTAGGGGAGCCGCTTGCATAAATACTTCAGTCGCGTGTTTGGAAATCATTTTCTACTCAATGTCTTGGCATGCTGTTGCTGCTTTATCTGATTCATCGGCCCCTGTGTCCCACCATCCGGCGACTGGCTTCTAGCCATAGATTCTGTCACTGCGCCCGCGTTCCCTCACTCAGTGGAACATTTTTCTCAATAGCTGCTGCTCTGATCCGGATTCGGCTTCGGCCTCGGCCTCGGCTTGGCGACTTACCTATAATAATCGTTTTTGCAATAAATGTTGCCATCACGTGAGTAGCATGAGGATTCCCGTTCCAGCGGCTGCTGACAGGCATAGCACTGCAAGCAGCTGGCGTGCCAACGTTTTTCCACAGCAGAGAGGTAGAAGCGATCCTGCAGGAAGGTCAAAGAAATTTCTTAAATAACATGTTCAATATATATCCTGACGGTAAGGGTTCCCAATATTCATAGACTGGGAATAAACAATGATTTGTGTTTGTTTACACAGTATTTCAAAAGCAATTATATTTATTTTTTTAAGTAATGATAACTATTTAAGGGCAATAGCATTTTGGGATTGCTTCTGCTTCCTTGTAGGAACTTTACTTTTATACACTATTCATATTTATTTTCTTTCAAGTTGCAGAATCAAATGCGACTGGTGATACAAAATAAACTAGAAAAATAAATCCTGCATACGCTCAAGAGGATTTTTTGAAACAAAACTAGATCAGTCCTATACAATTTTTTTTCAAGTCGCCTTGCCTTATAAAAAAGGATTATTTAGGACCAATTTCTGTCTATCAATCCTGAATTTATGTTCTGTATTTAATAAATATGGTTTATTATGCGTACGACTTCAAAATAAGTCTAAAAGTCGATTCGATTATTTTCTTCCGATTCGAAAACAAGTATACTGTGTTAAGTAGAGGTGAAGAACAAGGGCCTAATACGATTACGAACTTACTTAAATGCTGGTTGGGTTATTAAAAAAGCTCTTTCCGATCTTAAAATTGACTCAACTGTTACTTTGAGAGCCATAGAACATAGTAGATCGATTTCATTTAAATAAAAATAAACAATTATATTGCAGAAATGACTTTCTACCTTTTGGAGCATTTACATATAGTGCAATAAAGAGTATATGTATATATTTGGCATAGGAGCGATAACAAAATTAAAAGAAAACAAGAAAGAAAGCTAACTTCGGCATACCAAAGTTTTTATACCCTTGCAGTAGTTGGACCATAAAGAATCGATCCCTATTCGTCAAATGAGTAGAAAGACTGACAGGAGATATATAAACGATATATAATAATACATATATATATATCTTCTATGGCGGCTATCTGATATAGTCGTCCGGTTCGGTTCATCCCTACTAATATACTAAGGAGAGTAGTGCGTTTCTGCAAAGTTTCATTCAGATAGCTTAAGATTTGAGGGACATGGATAGATCGACTCCGTTGTTAATGCCAATCAAGAATATAAATACTCTATAGTGAATATACTGTATAGTGCATTTTTTACTGCGTTGCAAACTTCCGACTAATTCTAATACCCTGTAAGGTTATAATTATATGAAATCTAGATTATAGAATATATTTTAAATCTAAACTAAACGATCCCTAGAGGGATTTTACATTGTGAATGCTGATTTTGAAAGTGATCTGTTACATTGTTTCTCTGATAGCGCACTGTTGTAGTACCCTTTTACCCTATGTGTACTGGGTACGAGTTTTTCGCATTTAGTCTGAAGGGTTACCTGTATTTTCCGCCCACAACCGGCGCAGTCATCGAGGTTGCGCGCTATTTTGCTATCGTTGGTGGACTCGGGACTACTGGGTGGTCCGTATGGTTCCGTTTTAAACGATATGCCCGACGTCGTCTCGTCGCTGACTTCCGTGCAGTCCGTTCTGCTCCGGCTGATCGAGAATTTGGCCGCAGAGTCCTCGATAGTGGCGCGATCAGCGGTCTCATAGCTGCAGGAACCAATAAAGTTTGCGGTAAAGCTCGCAGTTGAGTGCCATTGATTACGAAATGGTTTCTTACCTTCTGAATGACTCGGTTGCGTATGCATTGCTAAATGGCTTTGTACTGTGGTCACAAATATCCGGACACGAGGATGAGGAGCATGTGCGGAACAATGGGTGATTATTATTTGCACCTGCAGCACTGCCACATTGATTGCTCCCTTGATGTGCTACAGGTGGTGTCGGACTTTTCTCCCTTGCGCCGGGCCCAAGAAATCTTGCGCTCTGCTGCTGCAATTTTTAAGAAAATATGCATTTATTATTGGTTGGAAAAAGTCATGGAAACCAGGACTAGGACCTGCGCAGCGGTGCCCAGTCCGCTTGGTAAAGGAGTTGCTGTCTTATAAATTATACGGCCAATGTTCAACGACGATGGCGGCAAATGTAAAAGCAGAGCCAAGGTTTGTTTCAAATTAGAGCAGGGTATTTCAGACTTATTCCGAGAAAACGATGCGCGACATTTGCGAAACGCCAACATATGAGCAGAGCCAGCGGCAATACCAGGCCGGGACAGGCCATCCCATCTCATCTCGCATCATCCCCTCTGTGGACTTCACTTATTGGAAGAAAAAAACAACATTGGGCATGTACAGATGTTTCTACCAAGAAAGTACAGGGGACATACATACATACGTCGTCTTGCACTTTTCAAGCGGAAGATTCCAGACTTCGAGAAGCCCACGTCCAACTTTCCGCCTCATCTCACCTCTTATCGCCTCGCCCGGCCCCTCCAATCATCTCTGCTTCAGTTTACTTATTTTTGATTAATTAGTTAAAAATAGATGACAACTGCAGCTTTGCCGGCCGTGCGCGTGTTAGAAGGATGACAGGTTTCCTTGCTCAACACGATACTTTCCTTATTCGGTTTCACTTTTTTCAGGACCATTTTTTGGACATTTTATTGGATCTGACCTGAAACAAGTTGTTACCTTTAGGGGAACACTGTGTATAAGACAAGTGCTATAAATGTATAACAGTCTTGCCCTCTTTGGATTGAAAATGGTGTCTCAGAGTTTCTTTATAACGACTTCTTGCGTAAATATACTATAAATCAGGGACCGTGTAACATTAATATATTGTATTACAATAAAAATAAGTAAAAAAACAAGAAAGGAAGCTAACTTTAGCACGCCGAAGTTTGTATACCCTTGCAGTTTGGAATTGGATCATTAAGAATCGATCCATTCTGGTCAAGTTAATATACAAATAAGAGGAAATATATATTTATACATCATTTAACAAAAACTATATTTTATATAATAAACATTATAAATATAAATGCTGAACAAAATATATATAATAAAGTTTCATTACATTTACGTATACTTATTACATGTTTACAGTTTGATTGTTGCTCGCAAATTTCCCTACATTTACCGATCGTTCTATGTCAGCTATATTATATAGTTGATATAATTTTATAAAATTAAAATCGAAATTCTGAAATATCAACGAAGTTATATTTTTTTTCTATTAATTTCCCGATCGTTCCTATGGCAGCTATATGATAGTCGCCGATTAGGTCCGTTCCGACTATATAGAAGTGAGAGAAGTCAGATAACTATATGCAAGGTTTGTTCAGATAGGTTCCAAATTAAGGGATTAGTTTCCGTAGAAACGGACAGACGGACGGACAGATGGAAATGGCTAGATCGACTTGACTGTTGATGCTGATCAAGAATATATATACTTTTTAGAGTCGGAAATGTTTGCTTTACTGCAATGCAACCCATAAAGTATACACAAATATTTTTGATAAGCATCACCAGCTGAGTCGAAGGTGACATCGTCACTTTTACCATATCTCACCTCGTCAAGAACAAAGGTGTCCAAGAACAACAAAGTTATTATTTCTTTTCTTATAATATCCCGATCGCTCCTATGACAGCTATATAATATAGTCGTCTGATCCGGACTGTTCCCACGTATATACAAGTGAGAATAGTCTGCAGAGTTCATTCAGATCATCCAAAACGGAGGGACTACTTTGGGTAGAAACGGACAGAAGGACAGACGAACAGACGATTAGACGGACATTGCATAGCACTAACAAACAAGAACCTCTCCTTAAACTAATGCATTTTATTTTTTTGATATCGGATGTACATATATAGTCAGGATGTACATCGCAAACCATTCCCTTTTTCTTTGGAAGGGAGTTTAGAGATTTCATATAAATTCTATACCTATAAATATTTTTTGATAAAAAACTTTAAAATTTTGTCAATATAGTTATAATTTTAGATATTTAAGTTATTAAGCTAACTTTAGTCGTTTTGCACGGAATTAATTTTTTTCCAAAATAAGAGGCACTTTTCCCGAAGAAAAACCAACCATCTAACAAAATGTCGAAATTAAAATATAGTTAATAATTATTAAATAAGTACATTTTTCTTGATCAATACTGTATGAAGCTATTAGTACATACTGCAGCTAGTGCATGAATCATAACAATCTGATCAAGCGAATGTTTATCATACTAAGAGATATTTTAATAAAACATTAGAATAAATACTTTTACTTTACAAATTAAGTTACTTTTTATTTGGTTTTCATGATTTGAGACGACGAAAACTTTATTATTATATATTAAAAAACTATGTTTTACAATTTTGAGACCATAATTACTCGGAAACGCTCAACCGATTTGTGTCAAACACGGGAGGATTTTGAACGTATGTTTTTAGAGTTACATCAAAGCTTTTAGATTACAGATAAAAGCATTTTTTGCTGGAAAAGTCAAAGCGTAATCGGATAGTAAACATTAGAGTTATGAGACAAGAAAAAGGTATATGTATGTCAGGTGTTGGGGTGGTTGCTTAACATGTTTCTGGCAAAATTTTCTTTATTTAGGTGTTGCGCAGCAGGTCCTTACCAATTGTCACTATTTTCTTCTGCCTTCCGCATTGCCTAGGGTATTATATTTTCAGTCAGAAGTTTCCAACGCAGCCGAGTCGATCTAACCATGTCCGGCTGTCCGTCCGTCTGTCTGTTTCTACGCAAACTAGTCCCTCAGTTTTAAAGCTATCTGAATGAAATATTGAATACTCTCACAACAATATATATCGATATGATATCGACGCATTTCCGGGAATGTATCGTATGTTTAAAAATTCAATTTTACAGGAGAAGCTTTTTTCTGATGTAATCCCTTTGGAAGCACTATAGAAAAGACACAATTGAAACTTAATTTTTATCGGAACTAAAGGGCTTTCAGTTATAATATTTCACAGGGTAGTGAGACACTAGGTGCCTAACAATTTTGCATTAAAATCTCAATTTCGAAAAAAAGCGACATACGATACTTTCGTGGAAATGCGTTGATATAGCTGCCATAATAATGATTTGCAAATTTTTTGAAAAAAAGTATAACGTGGCTGTTTTTCATTTCACATTTTCACATTTTAGATATGGCCATTTTTTATTATTTTAGAATTTCGGTTTTAATTTTATGAAAATAGGTCTACTATATCTTTTAGCGCCAATAGGATCAATCAGGAAATTAATAAAAAAAAAACTTATAACTTCGTTGTTTTTCAGCGGAATTTCGGTTTTAATTTTATAAACGACTATATCATATAGTCACCGTATAAAAGATCGGTAGATGTACAGATGTAACTGTCAAACTGTGAATATAATAAGTAATGTAATGAAACTTTGTTTTGTGTGTTTTTCAGAATTTAAATTTATCATGTTTTTTATACTAGATATGGTCATATCCGCCAAATGGTCAACCATAAATAAATGTCAATATTTTCATAATACAATGGAACCATAGCATATCTCTGTTGTTTTTTGACAGAAATTGGCCAGAAAACTGAAAACATTTAATTTTTTAATTTTTAGCTACTTTTAAACGCATTTTTTTGTTAAATTATTTCGCAAGGAAAACATATGATATGTTTGCACTTTTTTTTACCAAATTTTATTATAGCAATCTAATGAGAAGAGCAAAATTCAAAATGAGCGAAGAAAAAGTTCAATTAACTGTAATTTTAAATTTGCTTCTTATCTATGCTCTAATCGTACGTTCGCGACCGAAAACGTAATGTAATTGTGATTGCTTTGCATTAAGTGCAAGCAGGTGGATGAAACTTCTTGTGTCGTCATTTTCGGGTTACTATTTCAAATATACAAAAACTGAGATTGCTACTAACCAATCTTTTTATATATATATTTTTTTTTTTAACTTATACTTTTTTGTTGAACAAGCATATAAATGTTCTTAGATGTGACAAAAGTGGAAATGTTAAATTTAACACAGTTCGGACGGCCCATTTCGCAAAAACAATAATATCATAACAATTTAATTACTTCACTATTACTTTATCCGTTTTTCTTGTTAATAATAAATTTCTTGTTAATATTTCGTATTCAACAAATATTGCTTATTTGCTATAAATGTTATTACAATTATAAAATTGAGCTAAAACTGCTTTTTATTTAAGGAAATATAAAGTTATTTTTTAATAGTACGAAAAAAATGGAAATAAAGCATAATGCTTATTTTACACCACTATTTTTTTATGAATAACTTCATATTTCCATAAATAAAAAAAAAGTTTTAACTTAATTATATTTTTTCCATTTTGGAAAAATCGTACGTTTTCAACTCCTACGTTCGCGACCGGTACTTAATTCAATTAAAAACAAGAAAGGAAGCTAACTTCGGCACGCCGAAGTTTGTATACCCTTGCAGATTGGTTTTGATATTTATATTATAAATTTAAATGCTGAAAACACTCACAAAACAGAGTTTCATTACATTTTACCTATACTTATTATGTTTACAGTTTGACAGTTACAGCTTTACATTCTACCGATCGCTTCTATGGGAGTTATATGATATAGTTGTTCGATTTTTAAGATGTATATGTTAAGAGTAGATGAAAATGCGTTGAAAAACAACGAATTTATTTATTTTTTTTTTTTCTATTAATTTCCCGATCGTTCCTATGGCAGCTAAAGAATATAGTCGTCCGATTTTAATAAAATTAAAAACGAAACTATAAAATAATTTAAAATGGCCATATCTCAAAAATGATGCAAAAATGTTGAAAAACAAACAAGTTATATTTTTTTTCTAAAAATTTATCGAACATTTGTATGGCAGCTATGTGATATAGTGGTCCGATCCGGCCCGACATATATATAGCAGTGAGAGTATATAGAAGACTATATGCAAAGTTTCATTCAGATAGGTTTAAAACTGAGGGACTAGTTTGCGTAGAAACGGACAGATGCTGTTCAACAATATATGTATGTACTTTATAGGGTCGGAAAGGTTGCAAACTTCTGACTGAAATTATAATACCCTGCAAGGGTATAAAAAGGAAATGTAGATATTTCTTTGGGAATGGACTCAATACAAAGCTACATGAATACATTTTAAAAGTTAAGTTATTGCTTTAGAATATTCCGCCCCAATTCGCAGAGTTTTCCATTTTACTAGATTAAGCCAAAATAGATTCCCATTTTACGTACGTTCGCGATCGCATGTTTTTTTGCCAATATTATGAAAACAAACCCCATTTTTACACTAAGCAAAGAGCTAACAAAATACTACCGAAAGGCAAAAAACGTTTCTTTTATATATATATATTTTTTTTTGCACTGAGTACGTACTAGCGTACGTCCGCGACCCGCGGATACGCCCTTGTTTAAATTTAAAATATAGGTTTTTGTATACGAATAAGTTTTATTTTTTTTTAATTTTATCAAAACCGAATTATTATATGGTATGTATAAATACAATTTTAATATTTTTCCTTTTATTTTTTCTATTAATTTGACCAGAATGGATCGATTCTTAATGATCTTATAGCAAACAGCAAGGGTAAACAAACTTCAGCGCACTTTCTTGCTATACCATCAGGGTATTATAATTTCAGTCAGAAGTTTGCAACACAGTGAAGGAGATCTTTCTGACCCTATAAAGTATATATATTCTTGATCAGCATCAACAGCCGAGTCGATCTAGCCATGTCCGTCTGTCCGTCCGTCCGTCCGTCCGTCCGTCTGTCCGTCTGTCTGTTTCTACGCAAACTAGACCCTCAGTTTTAAAGCTATCTGAATGAAACTTTGCATATAGTCTTCTATATACTCTCACTGCTATATATGTCGGAACGGGCCAGATCAGACGACTATATCATATAGCTCCCATACAAATGATCGATAAATCTTTAGAAAAAAAATTATAACTTGGCTGTTTATCAACATTTATGCAAATCGGACGACTATATCTTATAGCTGCCATAGGAACGATCAGGAAATTAATAGGAAAAAAAACTATAACTTCGTTGTTTTTCAACGTTTTTTCATCTACTTCGGGATATAAGCTTATTTTATTATTCTAAAATTTTGGTATAAATTTCATAAAAATCGGACAACTATATCATATAGCTGCCATATAAACGATCGGTAGATGTAGAGAAAATGTAAAGCTGGGAATGCAAAACTGTAACTGTCAAACTGTAAACATAATAAGTATAGGTAAAGTGTAATGAAATAATATCAGCAAGGGTATACAAACTTCGACGTGCCGAAGTTAGCTTCCTTTCTTGTTATTCCTTGTTATTATTCCGATTAATTTCAATATTATACGTTACTAAATAAAGTATAGTATAGTAATAGTTTGACTTCCAATTATAAGGAAATACCTTTAGCAGTTTTTCCAAACAACAAATGAGAGCTTTGTTTTTAGGCCACCTTACTAAATGAATCAAGATTTCACATTGTCAGTAAATATATAGCCCTAACATTTCTGGGCGGAACGCACCAGTGCAGTAAAGAACACTTTTTTATTTAGTTATCATTAATAAATAGTAAATATCTGCCATTGTAAAACTATAGCCTTACCGGATAAGGAAAATTTCTTAATGATATGCTCCGACTCACATCAGGTGGCCAGAGGCAAGGATAAATATCTTAAGATATTGTTCTATTAAAATCTAAGGATCTAAGGCGATGGCCTTGAAGGAACTGGGAAACGTATTTGAGTAAGAAGCTGACTGGAAAAAATATGTCCGTTGATTAGTTTATGGAGGAACATCACGCAGTGGCAGGTCCGATTATCAAGATCCTTATACAATTTTTGAGTAAGCTTCGCCAGCCGAGTCAATCCAACCTATGTGTGTGCTATGTAAATTAAAATACTCAAAATTGATTGACAAACCTATCTATATTGATAAACATTTTTGAAAACCCCATTGCATTGACTCCATTAAAATATTTTATATAAAATATTTTGTTACATGTGGCCTATATTATATTATTATATCTTAGCAGAGAAGAAAGAAACTCGAGATACAGTTATTATTATTAATTTTAAAATAATACTTAACGTTTGGTTTACAATCAGTTTCTAAAAGTTCCACATTTGTTTTGGACTCTGAGATATCGTCTTACGCCCTCTACGGCCTAAATTGGGATGCTGACTTGAGATTACTGTTTTATTCTAGTAAAACAAAGCTAACCGTAGAACGATGCTTGGTGTCGTATTTCTTAATAACCTTTAAAACGAAATATTTGAGAGCCCCTACTTGCTAAGGCCACGTTCCTTGGCTAACATTTAGAACCTATATACCCTTCGTAATAAATAACTGTAGGCTGGACTTTGAAGTACATGTACATGAAACCGCCTCTTTGATATTATTGTGATAACCTTCCCAACACCGTAATACTTTCAGAATTAGCTCGTAGCATAGTAATATAGTAATTTTTAAAATTTCCTGTTTTTTATTTTCTTCACGCGTCTATCCAGTTCGGTCCGTTGGGGGAAAGGTGGGCGTGGGACTCACGAGACAAATAACTGTTTAAATAACTTCCTTTGTAAGGCGAATTTAAAGATATATATAGAAAACTATTGATATTTTTTCAACAGACCTTTTCGCTGAGACCAACAAATATTTTAAAAAATGTTATATACTGATTTAGAATGGCAGGTAAACTATAGTACTTTAACATGCCGTAATGATTGTTTTAAAAAAAATCTGTAATGAAGTTACAGATCTCAAATGCACCCAACAAAATTTCCTTTTTGCTGTTTAAGTTTAAAATAGGGGACGTATAGGGGTTTTCGTGAGGTCGGACTCGAATTGGGAACATCAAAAATCTTTGTTCTTTGTTATTGGTCTGTTTAATATTAAATAAGAAAGGAAGTTTGTATGCTCTTGCAGTTTGCAATTGGATCATTAAGAATCGATCCATTCTGGTCAAATTAATAGAGAAAATTAAAGGAAATATATAAAAGTTGTTTATTTATGGATACCACATAATAGTTTGGTTTTAATAAAATTAAAAAATAATGTTTAATCGCAGAAAATAACTGTATTTTAGATTTTAAATATCTGGTATAATAAACAATATAAATATAAATGCTAATGCTTAAAAAACCAAAGTTAAAACCGAAATTGTGAAATAATAACATATAACCAAAAAAAAAGCAAAGCCATACATTTTTTTTTTTTTTTTAAATTTGTCGATCGTTTTAATCCAAAATATATAGCAGTGAGAGTAGTCAGAATCATTCAGATAGCTTCCAAACTGAGGGACTAGTTTGCATAGAAACGGACAGATTCAAAATCGGATGACTGTCATTAGGCATTCAGCATAACCTACATATACGCTCTAAATTTATTTGGGTCAATATTAGTAGCTCCTGGATGGGTGGTCAAAATACTACTAAGCAGAAAGGCCAAATTCAAATTGTTTCAGAAGACCTCAAACTTAATTCTTAAGCTCAAAGAGCCTTGTTGTTATAATATTCCAAATAATAATTGGATACTTCTAGAATCCTAAGATCTAAGATAGAAGAAGAACATTCCTTTAAGAGATAGAAAGTTTTGTCCACAAAACACCTTATACAAACTCGTGAAACACTATAAACTTGAGAATTGAATCGATCTGTGCACTAAAATCAAAGTGATTCGACAAAAATCAACAACTGCCACACAATGTAACAACAACTTTTACAGATCGATAATGCTGGAAAATGTTATTAAACCGGAACGCCCAAGGGGATCTCTTATCTTCTCAGTGTGGCTGTAGCTCTGCCAGCGGCTTCTGCTTCACCGAGCTGTCTGTCGAGCTAGCCGGGATGGGGATCTTTTGGACTAGCTAGGTCTGGCACTGATAACTCCCAGTAACCCGAGCGCAAAGCGAGATAAGCCCTAAATTGTTCAGGGACTTGCGCCAAAACCGCTGGAACAGTTCGGATGAGTTCGGCCGGAGGCTTCATAAATTTGTCATTGCTATCGCGGGCTACAGCGGATCTGAGGAGTCAGAGTCCGGTGGGAGTACTTACCCAATGCATCACAGGGCGCTCCTCGGTGCAGACGCCCATGTGCGTCTTTTGGAATGACGCGAGGTCTATTTCCAAGGATGATTTCCGTCGGAGGTGGTATGTTTGTTTTTATTATGTCTAAGTTCCTTGCCCTATGAGCCAAATACCCCCTGGTAAAGGCTGTGCTCCTCAGCTAGCCGATGGGATTCCTCCTTCGTTAAATTTCAACTGTCGAGAACTGGAAACAACACTTGACACCGACCTCGACTGCGCGATTTGGCTTGCCGAAAGTTTGTATATTCACTTTGGTGTCGTCAACTTGAAGGCTCAAAATTTCGCGTTCGGCAACTTTTTGAATTAATTTCATAAATACGTATTTTAGTGACTCTAAATAAATTTTCGTTTCAGCGTTAAGGTAATTTGAGGAACATTTGGGTCACACACGAGCACGCACAAAACACTCAAATGACTCGCGGCAGGTAGTATAATTAGGCGAAAGTCATAGGCTTCCAGGCTGAGAGCTCATCTGGGGACGGTGACGGTGACAACGAGTAGCGGCAGGGACTGTGACACCGGTTGCAAGGAGTTCCAAATTAATTTATGACATTCATTTACGAGACAGCGGCAGAATGGCACTTCAGATCCGAATTGAGTGGTCGTGGCCTGCTCTTGTCGGACCGCTTGGCTGGCTTGGGGACTCGCCGGACCTTCCCGAGATGCGTACTACTGATAAATCATTAGAGAGGCGGTTGCGGGGATCGGCGTTTGGTTCTCGGCTCCTTCGCTGCGTTGTTTATGGCTGGCCGTTTGATCCCCGGTTTTATTTCAAGTCTGTCTTTTTCGCCAGGTCCGCTCTGCGTCGCTCGTGATTGCCGTCGTGATAGCTCAATAAGCTGGGTGCTCGTATTGCCCCCGTTGGCAATAGTCAGCCGTAATCCGCGGGGCGTGGTCTTGTCTTCCCCAGCCCAGCTCAAGTCCCAGCGCGAAATCCCGACTCTGCTGGCACTACTCCTGCTGCTATAGAGCGATTTGCCACGAACTTAGATCCGACCTGAATTCGAACTCGATCTCGATATCCAATTTCAATCCGCGACCGATCGTACAGAGGCGCGAGGACGACTAGTCGGCGCAACTGCGTAACTGGGAATGCTTGGGCAGCAGTCGAGCGCAGCGCCGGCAACCGAAAAACTCAACCTCCCCGCCGAGTGGCGTGGCTGTTTGTGTGAGTGTGCAGTGCTGTGCGCACGCCAGCCTGAGCGAGGGAGAGTGTGTGTGTGAGTGCGCCGAGCCTGTGCTGCCGGCCCGCTCGCACTCACGCTGTGCGCCGCCACTCTCTCCGTAGCAAATGGCGGTGCTCTCAGTTGATTGTGTCAGTATGTCGCACTCACTCTGACGCACTGCAGCTGCTCAAGAGGGCGTGGTGTGTTGTCACCCCAACCTGTGCGTACATCCCAGTGCTTAGCCCGGGGAAGCTCGGGGGCTCGAGGCCCCGTAGCTGGCTGCCAAACATGAATAATGCAACGATAGCAGTCTGTGAAGGCACAATCGGCATTTAAACGGAGATGGCTCTCGGCCCGGACAAGGGAGCCGGAGTCCGTGACAGAAATTTTTGCGTCCGCGAAAGATGTTCGTTGGCCTCCCACACCCAGCGTCGGCTCACCCGAACACCCCACACACAACAGCAGTAACTGCTGTTTGTTCTATTCTGGTTGTTAATACTGTCGCAGGAGCTGCTGCTCCTGTTCGGGTCGCTGTGGGATCTGTGCGGCACCACCTTCCTCGCTGCTACACGCCAAAAGCTTTAAGAAAGTCGAGCAGGTCTTATTTATTTCGATTTTGCTGAGCTCCTTTGCCCAACCCCCCCCATTGTATACTTCTTTTTCGTTTCTCGGTCTTAAAGTTGTTTCTGGCTGCTGTCGTTGTTGTTGGTGGAAGCTTCTCGCTTTGGAAGCTTATGAAAAACCCCGATAATGTCGACGACTGATTGGGTGGTTGTGGGTGATGTACTTGGGCCTTGCCTTTTTATATTCCTTTTCTACAAGTATCCGATTTGCGTTGTCAGCTGTTTTGTAATTCAGTTTTTTATACCCTGAACGGGGAAGAGGGTATTCTTACACACATATGTACAAATCTACATACAATCCTACGCTGATAAATGTATACATAAAAAACCAGGAAAAGAAATCGTATTCGGTGTGTGCGTATATATATATATATTTTATCCCTATAAAGACTTCGGTATAGTCCCCCTTATAAAACCATGGCAATATTTTAAGAGCCAAAGGTATTTCATGGTTGAATTTGTTTTTAATTCATTTTTCTTTAAGTTAAATACTTATCAAATTTATAAGCATTTTAAAAATTTCTGTTTATGTGGTAATTCCCGAATGCCCAAAAATTTAATTAAACATAAGACGAGATTTTATTTTATTTTGACAAAATGAAAAATTAATAGCTCTTGGTTACCACTATATCAAAAAGCCCCGACCACTATTAATTCGCACGACAAGCATCTATCTTCTGTTCTTCCTTGCAAAACAGATCTCAGAAACTTTAAGATCTAGACCTACCAAATTCAATGTCAACGTGTTAAGAAAAGTTGGCTAATCCTGTCTTAAATGACATTATAAATAAAAGTATGCCAAACATAAACAAGAAAGGAAGCTAACTTCGGCACACCGAAGTTTTTATACCCTTGCAGATTGGTTTTGATATTTATATTATAAATTTAAATGTTGAAAAAACACACAAAACAGAGTTTCATTACATTTTACCTATACTTACAGTTTGACAGTTACAGTTTTACATTAACAGCTTTACATTTTCTCTACGTCTACCGATCGATCCTATGGCAGCTATATGATATAGTTGTCCGATTTGTATGAAATTTATAACAAAACTCTTAAATAATAAATTAAGCTTATATCTCAGAGTATACGAAAATACGTTGAAAAACAACGAAGTTGTTTGCTATAAGATATAGTCGTCCGATTTTCATAAAAGTAAAACAGAAATTCTAAAATAATATAAAATGGCCATATCTCAAAAATGATGCAAAAATCTTGAAAAACAGCCAAGCTATAATGTTCTAAAAATGTATCGAATATTTGTATGGCAGCTATATGATATAGTCGTCCGATCCGGCCCGTTCCGACATATATAGCAGTGAGAGTATATAGAAGACTGGTATATGCAAAATATCATTTAGATAGCTTTAAAACTGAGGGACTAGTTTGCGTAGAAACGGACAGACAGACGGACATGGCTAAATCGACTCGGCTGTTGATGCTGATCAAGAATATATGTATACTCGAAAATGGGTCGAAAATGCCCCTTCACTTCGTTGCAAACTTCTTACTGAAATTATAATACCCAGCAAGGGTATAAATATTTGGGAAAACAAATAAAACATTTACAAATTAAAAACAAGAAAGGAGCAAACTTTCGCATCCCTAGTTTGTAACCCTTGCAGTTTGAAATATCTACAGTTTTACATCAGTTACAGTTTTGAATGTTGTTCCTATGGCAGCTATTCGATAAGTCGACCAATCCGGACCGTTCAGATTTAGATACTGGTAATCATAATTGTCAAAAGACTGCAAAGTTTTCTTCATGTAACTTACCACCTAAGGGACTAGTTTGCTTAGAAACGGACTGACGAGCAGACAGTTAGAAGGACATGAATCTGAATCCCTTATAATGCATGTATACAAAAAAAATGTAAAATCTTATATATACACAGAAAAATATGAATATACTATTTTTGTGGGTTGAACTACAGTAAAGTACAGTCAATGTATTTTGTTGTTGGATTTTTGACCGTACGAAACTGTACAAAACGGTTGTTACTTTACTTTACTTTAACTATGAAATTGGTTGGATTTACTGCAGGAATTTTTTCTGTGTACAATATATATCTAACTATTTATGGACTTTATTGTTGTACTTTTTACCTTTGTAATTCTTCGGACAAATGGGTCTAATTGAAACTTTATATTTCTTTCTAGCTCTCCTTAAGCTATCAACCAGGTCTAAGTTAATAAATTTGTTATCGAGTTTCTTTTCTTTACTTAGGATCACAGATTACCGTTTAAGTGATCTTCGGTATTCTTACCTATAAAGAACTGACCATAAATAAAACTAAATGTGGACTACGACAATATAATAAAGGGCCAACCAAAATTACCGGGCATCTCAAATCAGTTTTCTTCGATGTTTTCAAACCTCTACGAAGCACCCTCGATGGCAGCCAGGCACCATATTGTTTAAGATATATACATAAGTATATGTTAGGAATATTTAATGCGCTTAGTAAACAATTTTTAGGTTCGGTTACACAGGTTTTTAGTAGTCAATATAAATGGGGAGGTTTCTGCGAATAAAGTAATTCTTACACTGAATTATATAGAATCCGTATCCTTTCACAATTTCAAAAGCAACGGTGTTCCCGCTCTCCGACTTAGCGAGTCTGTCTTTCATCGCACCCGGATTGGAAAATACACACTCTTTGGCTTTCAGGCAATGATGCTAGGCAACGAATTGAAAAATCCAAGCTCAGAAAATGGTGAACAATTTTCTGTCTATTTAACTTTCATGACGGTCTTCTGGGATGGATGGCTGGTGTCTGGGGGTGGTGCCTGGGGTGGGTATGGAGCACGTTCCACTTGCCAGCTCCCACATAAAGAAACATAAAAACCTTATCTCTTTGAAACTCGGCAGAAACATAACGTAAGCAGTGCTCCGCCTCCTTTTATTATAATGTTTTTTTTTTTTTTTAGGATCTGTACATACAACCTACTACCACGGCACACACACCCCTCAATGGCATGATTGTCAAAGTTTACGTTTTACTTCTAGTGCGGTGCTCTGAAGCAGCTTTGTGTAGAAGCCGGAGGGGATCGGGGTGTGTGTTGGGAAACGTTACCGGGAGCGAAACGGGCCCTACAATGCAACCTTTTGGTACTGTAAAGTGTACAGAAGAGCTACAAAAGGTATGGCGGCGGCATCACTGACGAGGTGCTTTGCTTCGTGGTGCGGGGGAGGGACAGAACCGCAGTGACGTAAATACGAAAATCCGATATTACGTTTCCATTCGTCGGGACCAGCCAGAGCCAGGGTGTGTGCGTGCCAAGCGGGTGTAAGGTTGTTTGCTTGTTACACAAGTACTGCGCTTTGGCACTGCACTCAAAATGCGAAGGATGCGATGGGTAGGACGCAGCAAGAACAACTCTGCACGCAAAACCACAGCCCTCGATTTGAATCCTTTTACAAAAAAGCACTACAAACCGAAATCCCACCAAACGAAACGCTTCTGAACAAAAAGTTGAAATGGCAAATTCAACGCAAGAGACAGGTAAACTAAAGTCTCGGCATCGGCGAACCTCGTGTGGGAGTGCTTCTTTGTTTCTACACTCGGCGTTCTAGAAGAACGGATTCGGATAAAATATGATAAAGGTATAACGAGGCAGAAATATACATTTCTTAAAAGTCCCAATGCCAGCAAATTAGGAAACAAAGACTTGAAATAACTTATTTCTTAAATAATAATAATAATATAATTTAACAAGGTAGTTATTTTTGGGAAATCCTTGTATTTATTCCAGAATAAAAATACAAATTATAAATTATCTGATCGCTCTAATAGAAGCTATCCGATATTGTTTAAAAAGTCATTTCAGACCCGTATGTCCGTCCGTCTGTCCGTTTCTACGTAAACTAGTCTCTAAGTTTGGAAGCTATCAAGCTATATTATAACTTATATTTTTAACTACATAACTACATAACTATATTAATTTATTATTTATTTAATTTTTTTTTTAATGTTTGTTTAAATTTTTTTATTATTTATTATATTTATTTCTTTATTTATTTCTTAATATTTTTTGCATAATTTTAAATGTTTTATTTATTATCCTTAGTCTTTTGTCCTTTTGCTTTTAATATTCTTTAAACATAATTTGAAACTGAGTTGCGCTCTTAAGGTTTCATATTTATGTGACAGATTGTTCCATATACGGATAATATTTATATAGAACTGTCGGTTCCAGCATAGCGTTTTGTATCTGGGGCATTTCACGTCATTGGTCCTATTCTATGAAACAATTTTGTTATACAGATAGTTGGATTCTTTAGTTCTTATAATTTTATGAAAGTATGG